GGGCCTCGAATGTGCTAGGCGAGCACTCTACTGCTGAGCCACAACCCCACGCCCTAGTTATCAAAATATTGACAAATAACACTATCATTACTTTAACATAAGGCATGTAAATTGCATATGGCAATGCCTTTATGTATTGTCAATGTTTTTAAACATTTATGTGGCAGACAGTTCTAAGTATTTATACTGTAATTCTCACAACTTTGTGGAGGTAGGTATTATTAGCATCCCCATTTTATAGATGACAGAACCAAAGTGCATAGATGTCAACTAGCAGAGCTGTGATTCAAATTTACTGACTGACTCTTAGGGGCCTGTGCTCCTAGCCTGTCTTTCAAATGAAGATTCATCAAGGTTGATGGCATTGTAGATCTAGTACAAAGTTAATTCTTCTTCCTATGAATGTATTCAGAGGCCCCTTATTTTTTTAATCATACAACAAAATTTTTATTTGGGCCAGGTATAAGAAAAATATGACCCCCCTCAATTTATTTAAAAGTAAGGTTTACCTTTTATAAAAGTAAGGTTTACTCACTTGCTTAGCGTGCTCAACGCCTTGGTTTCTATCCCAAGGAGGCCCCTTTCTTATAACAACAAAACTTAATTTGTTCATGCTCCCTATATCCTTTTCTTTCAGTTGCCAGAGTACTTGAAAGAATTATGATAGATAACATTTGTATGTTTATTTCATTATGGTTTTATATATCTTTTAAAATGTGTTCCTCTTTAACATTATAGGGATGGAGCAGGTACCATTATCATTATTTTAAAATTTAAATTTACAGATCAGGACACCAAGATGAATCTATTTTAAGTACTGTCTTCAAAGTTACACAGCTGGTAAATGGGGAGCTAGAACTGTGGACTCCTGATTAGGAATTTCTTGTCTGTAGCATATCCTTTTTTTTTTTTTTTTTGCCTACATTTATTCTTTCTTTCCCTCAATTTTTGTGATTTGTACTCCTAAGTCATTCTATTAATTACTTTTGCAAATTAACCAACTCACTGACTACTTTTATTCATTAATTAATTTTTTTCAGCTTTTCTGTTTACTCTTTCCTCTTTGAAATTCTCGCCTCTCTTGACTTTTGACCCTTTTATTAATTTTTTACTTTTTTGACTACTCATCTTTGTCTTCTTCACCACACCTCTACTTTTGACTTCTTAACGTTTTCCTCAAGCGTATGTTTTAAGTCATACGGTTTTCTGCCTATACTTACTCTCTCAATAATTATCTAGTTTTGTAGTTTCAACATTCAGTGCTATGATGATCCAGTTCTATACTTCTTGTTTTAATATTCTATACTCCCAACTTCCCAAATATCTACCAGTCTCACCAGCACTTCAACTGTAACATGGATTGAATGTTTGATCATATGTTGATTCATATATTGAAACCCTAATCCCACTGTGATAGTATATTTGGAGGTGAGACTTTGGGCAGGTAATTAGGTCATGAGAATTGGTCCCTTTTAAGTTCTCATAAAAGCTAACTTTCTTTTGGCCATATGAGGAGACAAGAAGACAGCACACCAGAAAGTAGGACCTCACCAGACACTGGATCTGCCAACACCTTACAGACTCCAGAACTGTGAGAAATAAATGTTGTTTAAGTCTCCTCATCTATGGCAATTTGTCATAATAGTCTAAACTGACTAAAACAATGTCTAAAACCAAAGTTGTGATCTTCTTCACAAAGTATGCCTTCCTCTTGTTTTGCTCTTTTTCCCAATGAATTTCTCAACATTGCAAAGCTGCTAGGATTACCTTTGTGCCCTTTATGTTCAATGGCCATGTTCTATTGCATCATATAGATGTTTATCACAACTTTCTGTTCTGTTCTATTCCTTACTTTGTTTGTTTGTTTTTTTAACTTTGGATTAGGACATCAAAGTTTGTCTAAGACTTCAATGAAGGAAATATATCCTCTAGTTGAAATGGCTATCTCCAGGTACTGAGGATGTGGGATGATTTTCATTTTTGAATTAAAAAAAAATTCTTAGTAGTGACCATGTACTACTTTCATGATCAGAAAAAAATTAAACCAAGTATAATAAAAGAAAAATAAAGGGTTGCATTTACTCTTCGAGCATTGAATTAATGTACCTCCCTTATAAGGCCTTTCCATATTACCTTAATCAGGCATATGCTTGTCCATTTCTTTGATGTTGTTGTTTTTTTTATTTCATGTCATTAATGTATTTTAGTGTCTTTGTTTTGTATAAAATTGGTGTGAATGTGTTACATGTTAGAAGGCCATTAAGAATTGTAATGCAAAAATAATAAATAAATAAATAAATTGAAAAAAAATTAAATTAAAAAAGAAGGCCAAATCTTTTTTTTAAATTTTTTATTGTTGGTTGTTCAAAACATTACATAGTTCTTGATATATCATATTTCACACTTTGATTCAAGAAGGCCAATTCTTTTTTCTTTTTTTGGTACAGGGGATTTAACTCAGGAGTGCTTAACCACTGAGATATACCTGCAACCCTTTTAAATTTTTTGAGACATAGTCTTGCTAAATTGGTGAAGTGGGTATCTAATTTACAATCCTCTTGCCTCAGCCTCCCAAACTGTTGGGATTACAGGAATGTACCACCACACCCAGCTTAGTCAGTTCTTAAAGACAAGGTGTTCTGATTCAGTTTGTGGATAGTAGTTTCTCAGTAAATATTTGTGAGATTTTGGAGTTGAGCCCTAAATACCATAATTGTGAGCTGATAACCACTGGATTGTGTGTCAGATTCTCTTGATGTGCTTCACTTCAGTGTTTTTGTTTTTGTTTTTTTTTAAAGCCTAATGTCATTGTTAACAAAACCTCATTCATGATGGGCTTCATGAAAGAAGTTGGGAAACAGGTCAGGTATACTGTCTTTACTGGTCCTGGTCCAGTTATAGATTTCTGTTTAGAGGAAGTATGTATATGGTAGCAGGAAGCCTGAGAGGCAGAATAGAGCACTAGAGCATTATTCAGTAAAAGAAAACATTTTTTAATCCAATTATTTGCATGTTCCTTCATACTTCACTATAATGACATCTCTCTATCATTTGATTGCTAATTGTTGTGGATATTTAAATGGAGAGTATTCATTAATACTAAGTGAAAGCACTAAGAGGTTCCCAAATCAGACACCTTTAAAAATTCAACAGATTCATTATATGTAACTATAATTGGGATTTGAACCCAGCTCATCCAACTCTACAGTTCTATGCTCATCTGTCCTTTCAGATCAACTGAATTGACTATCTCTGGATCCAAGATCTTCCTATTCTGATGAAAAGGAGAGTAACTTTGGGGATTAGCTCCAGGGAGAAATGCTCCATTTCTTTTGGTAGTTTAAACAAGAAACATCTATTAAGTGCTCAATTGCTCTGAATCTGTACCAAATGAAGGGTTAGTACTCTAATCCAGTTTTACTGGCTCCAAATACAGTAATCTTTGTTACCTTAGCAACAGTATAGAACATAGAATATTGGAAACTATGATATTGTCATCTCTGTGTGCCCCAAAATTAAAAGTTTAACTGAAGCCACCTTGATCACCAACCACATGTCAAATTTCCTTTTTTGTATGCTGCATGTTAAGGTGTGTTAAGCTTAGTAACTTTGTCCCTACAAGCTTCTTCATAAGGGCAGCAAATAGATCAGGTATGCTGCCTCTTCTGGTCCTAGTTCAATCCCTCGCTTTCTCTTAGTCCTGGGAAGTGGATAGGATGCAAGAAGCCTGAGAGAATAGTGACTGGAGTGAGAACTTTTCTCCTACTTGGGTCTCACTTTCCAACCTCTATTGGAGTTATTTGTCTCTAAATTTCTCTGTTGAGTGGGAAAGGCAAAGGGACTTTGCGTTTCTATTGGTTTAAAGCAACAAACTAGAAGGGTTTAGGTAATGAACAGTCTTTACTTTAGAGGGAATAGCCATGCAGCTTCCTGAAAGGAATGGTATATGGTCCCTTGGCATCAATGGGAGGGTCAGACAAATTATCAGATCCTGGGAAAACTCCAAATATGGAGACCATTTAAGATTTTGCCAGCAGGTGGCACTTCTCTCCTATTCTTACCAAATACAGTCTTTCCAAGGTACAATATTCCTATTTCTTTGCTGTTACTCAATTCTGCGGAATGATCTTGAGTGTAGCCAGATCCAAGCATTCCTCTTTGCTTTTTGTAGGGGTGTAGTATACAATATCTGTATAAACATTGCAATACGTTTATATACCTTCTTTCCACAAAGGATTTGAAATTGCTTACAACATACAGTAAAATAGAAAAATATGAAGAAAAGGGGAATATCAATTATTGTAAAGAATATTTGATTTGATTTGGGGTTCCAAGCAGCTGGAGCAATGATAATGGTTCATTGTCAGGCCTTTGTGTGAATAGGAAAAAGAAGATAAATCCTTTAAAATTTTGAAATACAAATGGAAGAGCTTATGTAGGAAGTTTCTGTTGTGTCCCTTTCGTCTTGCTAACCTAATTTTATGTTATTCCTGGCCTATAAAAAATCAAACAGTACTTTTATCACTCTATACCTTCAGGGCTATGTAATCAACCTGTCAAGTTCAACTGGATTCACCCAGGCATTTATCTTACATAGATTGTCCTGAGCAGCCAGAACACAACATCCTTTAGGTACGCTTGGGTGTGCCCAAACCATTTATAAGAATCCCTTCTCGAAGAGAGTTTTTAACTAGATGGATAAATAAGACCTGTGTTTACACCCAAGACAAAACTAGAGTTATACCGGGTAATGTTATAATCAAATGCTAAATTCGTGTCTTAATAGGGTTCTAAAAAAATAAATCGGCAACTTTCATCTCTTTCAAGTTTCTAACATGAAACCACTAGCAATAGCTAGTGCAGGCGGGATGGGGGCTGACGGGAGGGGAGGGGAGGGACAGGAGCGCCCCTAAACTGTTCCCTTGTCACTGAGTGTTTCCCGTGATTAACTAGAGGTGCGGGTCCGTACCGCCAGAAGGACCAGCGCCTGGCTCCGCCCATCGCTGTCTAAGGTTGGGACAAAGATGAGGGGCGGAACCACGCGGGGGCGGGATCCCGAGAACCCTACCCGGGAGTGGATCCCAGAATCTGGGGCCCGGTTCCCTGAGCCCGGGGCGGTGGCCGAAGCCGGGCAGGCGGCTTTGTGGCGCGCGCGGGTTCCACCGTGGGAGGTGTGGTCTGGCGGAGGCGTCCGCGGTCCCCGCGCTCAGCCCGGCGGCGGGCACCACATGGCCAGCCGGGCTCAGTCCGGCTTCCCCGCACGCACAAACAGCCGCCTGGATGCATTCCTGAGGCGGCATCTGGCACCCAAGGTCTACGACGCCATCCGCGCCTACGAGCCGTGCATCGTGGTGTCAGACTCGGAGAGGCACACCTTCAAGTATGTGGTGCTCAGCGACCGGCTCATCTACTTGACCGAGAACCCGCCTAAGTCCATCCGGCGGGTGGTGGCACTGCGGGACGTCGTGGCCATTGACTTGGTGAGGAGCGCGGGCTAGTAGGCGGGCTCGGAAGCGCAGGGAGACCCCTTTATGGGTTCCAGCATCCTGCACGCGGGAAGGAGGAGGAAGACCTTTCCCATCCCGCCCGAGACTCCGCACTCTCTGGTTTCAGGAAAGCTGTGAATTTTGCTGGATAATTCCTGAATAGAGACGTCTTTCGCATTCTTGAGCTGTTCCCCCGCCCTATCCCCTTCCGTTGGGCTACAGGTTTGAAAACAGCATCGATCAAAATCAAGCTTTAATTTTTTTTTTTTTTTTGGTACGTTAAAACACTTAGTCCATGCAGGAACTGTGCTAGACCTGGAGGATGCAAAAACCAAATTGCACTCTTCCTAGAAGCGGTTGTGGGAGGGATCGAAAGACAACACCAAAGCAAATAATGCCTCGTGTTAAGGGCTATTATACCTTGCTTACTTTTATTGCCCTAACTCTTCAAGCATGCTAGGTGCACTCGAATAAGTAGGTGAATGAATGAATGATGCATAAATAAAATGTGCACAGGATGCTTGGCAATCTCAGGCTTGTCTCTTGATCCAAATTGAGTTCAGAGCATGCTGGGAAAAGTTCCTGGAAGGAGTGTCATCAGAGCTAAGCCATGAAGGATATACAATGTGACACAACCCCTCCTTGTTCCAGTTTTTAGTATATTGTTACTGTATTTCTTTCCTTCAGGAACAGTTGTATTTTATAAACCAGCAACAGTTGGATGTATTTTATTAAACCAGCAACAGTTGGTAGTATGGTCTTTTGATTACTGTTCTTTTCCTTCCGAGTCTCTTTGTCTTAGCTGCTCTCCAGGTGTGTTCTTCCTTTTTTCCACTGGGGACAGATGTCTAGCCTCCTTTTACTTTTTCTTGCCTGAGTCTCTGTGTCCCCCAAGGGAAAGGTTGGCAATACTCTTGATGGAGCTGTTTTGCTTAGAGAATCATAGATTGTTTTGAACATGTCTGTAAGAAAATAATAAAATTAAATGAAGAGAGGTTTTTTTTTTTTCCTACTCAAACTACCCCTGTGGGCTAATATTATTGTGCAAATTTATTTACTTTTTTTTTTTGAGTTAAAGTTGGAAGTAAACTTTGCCTTTTTACTTACTACCATTATTTCCATTATCTTGAACTATTTTTTAAGAAATTTAATTTCCTTTACCTTTTTTTTTTTTTAACTGAGAACTGAACTCAGGGGTCTTCTATTGCTGAGCTACATCTCTTTTTTATTTTTTATTCTGAGACAGGGTTTTACTAAGATTCCTAGACTGGTCTTGCCTTGAATTTTGCAATCCTTCTCAGCTTCTTGAGTAACTGAAATTACTGCCTTTTATTTATTTATTTTTGCAGTGCTGGGGATCAAACCCAAGTCATTGCACTAGGCAAGTATCCTACCACTGAGCTACATTTCCAGCCCTTCAAAATGTTTTAGAAACTTTTAAAAGCCTGGCTGTTTCTAGTGTCTTCACTATAAGCATTTATCATTTTGATAAAAAAAAACAAACAAAAACCCCCCACTAATTTTAGGATATTGTTATTCTCCCCCAAGAGAGACAACATATGCATTTCAAGAGTTGTTAATTTTCTTTTTAAATTGTCAGAAACTGGAAAGTACTCTAAACCTCCTTAGGCCTAGAGCCTAGATTCCTCTACAAAGTCATATCATATTTAGTCATGCTTTAATGTACAAGGTTCAGTTTTTATGGATGTAGAATACATAATGTCTCTAGATGTGCTGAAGAAATCTGATTTTAACGTTAGTGTTACATTGGATGTCCATCTTGCACAATATAGTTTAACTTTGGAAGTTGTGGTAAGCATAATAATTACTCCAAAAACATAACCACATTCTAAATCCCTGGAACCTGTGAACATGTTATATTACATGGCAAAGGGGAATTAATGTTGCTAATCCATTGACTTTAAAATGGGAGATTTATTTGATTATTGAGGTGGGCCCAATGTAAAAGTGGAAGAGAGAGGCAAAAGAGCCAATGTCAAAGTGATGGGCCCAGAAAAAGACTAGACTGAAGGAAGAAAGAGGCTCCGTGCCAAGGAACATGGTAGCTTCTAGAAGTTGAAAAAGGCAATGAAATAGGCTTTCCCATAGAGCCTCCAAAAGATATACTGTACCACCAACACCTTTATTTTAAGCTTACTGAAACCCATTTTTTAAATTTTTTTAGGCCTTATACATGTATTTTTAAGTTTTTTATTCTAACTTGTCATATATGACAGCAGAATGTATTACAATTCATATTGCATATGTAGAGCACAATTTTTTCATCTCTCTGCTTATATACTAAGTATAGTCACATCATTTGTGTCTTTTTCATACATGTACTTAGGGTAGTGATGTCCACCTCATCCCACCATCTTTTTTTACCTCCTTTCCCCTTCCCTCCCCCTCCTTCATCTTTGCCCTATCTACAGTTTGTCTAATCTTCCCATGCTCCGCTTTCCAACCCCACTGTGAATCAGCCTCATTATGTTATATCAGAGAAAACATTCGGCATTTGTTTTTTTGGGATTGGCTTACTTCACTTAGCATTATGTTCTCCAACTTCATTCATTTACCTGCAAATGCCATGATTTTATTCTCTTTCATTGCTGAGTAATATTCCATTGTGTATCAATATCACATTTTCTTTATCTATTCATCTACTAAAGGGCATCTAGGTTGGTTCCACAGCTTAGCTATTGTGAATTGTGCTGCAATAAACATTGATGTGGCTGTGTCCCTGTAGTATGCTGATTTTAAGTCCTTTAGGTATAGACCAAAGAGTGGGATAGCTGGGTCAAAAGGTGGTCCCATTCCCAGTTTTCCAAGGAGTCTCCATACTGCTTTCCATAATGGCAGACCCACCAGCAACGTATGAGTGTGCCTTTTTCTCCACATCCTCGCCAACAGTTATTGTTGTTTGTATTCTTAATAGCTGCCATTCTGACTGGAGTGAGATGAAGTCTTAAGAGTAGTTTTGATTTGCATTTCTCTAATTGCTAGAGCATTTTTAAAATATATTTGTTGATTGATTGTATATCATCTTCTGAGACTGTCTGTTCAGTTCCTTGGCCCATATATTGATTGGGTTATTTGTTTTTTTGGAGTTTAGATTTTTGAGTTCTTTATATACTCTAGAGATTAATGATCTACCTGATGTGTGAGGGGTAAAAATTTGCTCCCAAGCTGTAGGCTATGTATTCTCCTCACTGATTGTTTCTTTTGCTGAGAAGAAGCTTTTTAGTTTGAATCCATCCCATTTATTAATTTTTGATTTTAATTCTTGTGCTATAGGAGTCTTATTAAGGAAGTTGGGGCCTCATCTGATATGATGGAGATTGGGGCCTACTTCTGAAACCCATTTTTTTGTTTTGTTTTGTTTTACGGTGCTGGCAAAAGGCTAGGCAAGTTGACTATCACTCAGCTTCACCTGGACCTAAGACCCAATTTTGGATTTCTGAGCTCCAGAACTAAGAAAGAACCATTAAAGTTGTGGTTACAATAGCCATAGATAGGAAACTAACATGGAAGCATTTCCTATTGTGGTGCTTAAAATGGGTAATCCTTTTTTAGTTGTTGATGAACCTTCATTGTAATCATTTATTTATATGCAGTACTGAGATTCGAACTCAGTGCCTCACACAAGCAAGGCAAGCACTCTACCACTGAACCACAGCTCCAACCCCTAAAATGGGTAATCTTTTAAACATTATTTTTTTCAGTGTTTAATGAATATAATCCTGTCAAGGTCAAGTGCCTTAATAATCTCTATGAGTTTTTATAAAATCATTCAAGGATTGTTGTAGTTCAGTACATGTATTAAACTTCATAGGGTGTATGAAAGATGGTGTCATAGAATTGCTTAACTTAGTACTAATTAATAACCACAGGTGTAATTGACCAGTCTGTGAATGCTGAATCCTAATACCACAGTGTGTAGAATTTTCCTGATTTCTGTGTCATATCACCCATAGTCATCCTATCCATACTAACTCAAGTTACCTTAGTCATTGCCAGGCAACTTTATTTTCCCCCACCCCCTTTCTCTCTGTGTCTCTGTGTGTCTCTCTTTAAACCAGGGTTCCATCCTCTTTCCAAGGCCACTTTTAAACGTCCTCTTTCTAATACCAATTCTTTAATCATTCTTTTCCATTCTGTATGTTTTCTTATTTTACTCTACAAGTTTGTCTTGTTATTTAACTTTCAGTTGTCTCAAGTTCACATTCTGCCTTTGTTCTTATTGTCACATGGTTGCTGGACTTTAGTAATTCCTAAACAAACCTATCTTTATGCTTCTGGATTCCAGCCCTTCTTGTTTGATGTTGGGCCAGATAACTCTATTTAGTGCTTGTTCTATGTCAGGGTTATACTTTAGGGAAAAAATCTGCAAATATGGAGATGAAATTCCACTTTCTTCTCTAAGGGAGAAGATTCTCTAAGGTAGTGGAGGTTGAAGTAACAATCACAAAAAGTTACACCAGAAGTCTACACATGGTTTGGAGAGGTTAAACATTTGGAGAGGGGGCTGGGGATTTAGCTCAGTTGGTAAAGTGCTTGCCTTGCATGCACAAGGCCCCGAGTTCAATTCCCATCATCACAAAAAAAGTTTAGGGCTGGGGATGTGGCTCAAGCAGTAGTGCACTCGCCTGGCATGGGTGCAGCCCGGGTTCGATCCTCAGCACCACATACAAACATAGATGTATCTGCCGAAAACTAAAAAAAAATAAGTAATAATAATAATAAATTCTCTCTCTCTCTTAAAAAAAAATTGGAGGGAGTGAGATTTCCCTTTTAGCAAATCTAAGCTTGAAGTAGATTTGGAGATCTCAGCAGGTATTTGATGTTGTTAATCTCCTTAAAGAAAGTTTCCAAGATTGCTTTGGTAAAGCTTTTATGAAATGTCAACATTTACTAAGTTAAATTTGAAAGAATTATCTATAGAGTTTTTTTTTCTTGTGTGCATCAAAATACTATTCTTTAAGCCCTTCTGTGAT